ACAAGCGTGTCTATGAAATTTAATAAAAAATAATTATGCTTTTATTCATTGGATAGATAACACAACCAAGTGAAGTAATGCTACATTTTCAACAATGTAGGGCATCAAATAAACCATAAAAAATAACTATAAATTTTACAATGGATTATTGATTACGTTATTTTAGTTTGAATAAGCGTTGTTGGTTAGGTCACTCCATCGTGGCCGTTGGATTGATTGTAAATGGGGGTTACAGACGCTCCGATTTGATTTAAAAGGTAGTCCGGTAAATTTGAGTGAGGAGCCTGCTTTTTGTGGGAGAGAATTGTCATTTGCAATTTTGTGGTGGGGTTTTATTTAAATCAACTTTAATTTAATTTAGAGATTTGAATATTCGTTGTACTGTCAAATAAGATCTATAGTGGGACTTTTATAAAGTAATATAAAAATTTCCTTTGAGATAAAATAACTTTTTTCTTTAAATAAACAAACCCACCTCATAGATAAACAATGACAATAATATATTACACAAATTATAGTAAGATAAACTTAATAATTAGATGGATAGACTAATGCATAGTTATACAATAAATATTGTACTTTTATTCATATTGTTTGTCATATTTATATTTATTTTAATTGTTTGTCATATTTATATTTATTTTAATTTTAATTTTTTAAGTATGACATTTCAAAAACATCTTATATCCTACGGAACCGTTCCTCTCTCTCGCAATTTTTTTCTCTTCTCAAACCCTAACCGTCGTTCCTCTCTATTCGCTGCCGATTAGCCATCCCCGGCGACGGCGGGGCCTGGCCAGCGGTCGCCCTTGACCGCTCGTCCAGCCTTAGTCGTTTGCTCCCCGAAATTTGCTACTTTTCTACTGCGTTGACCGGCGAATTGGAGGCTCGAGAGGCCGTCCCCGCGTTCGGAAGCCTGTCGGCGATGGGTGGCTTCCTCTTGAACACCGGCGGCCCTTCGATTGGAGATGGTAAGCTCCTCTTTTCTCTGTTTTGTCGGCGTTGGGAGCTTCCTGCTCCGGCGGGGCGTCCCGTGGGTGGTGGTTTGCAGTCGGGATCTTGTGGTGCTCGGTGGAGTGCGGGTCTGAGGATGGGGAGGCCCGGACTGCTGCGACGTGTTCCTTTGTGGTGGTTGGGGTTGTTGAACTGTTCCACCTAACCCCCTCCCCTGTTTCGGGGCGGAGGGGGTTCGGGAACCTGACTTTTTTGAGCTCGGCTAGTTGTGTTAGACTGGTTCGGGAGGGTGGGTGGGTTAGTTTCTTTCGGTTGGAGGTGGGTCGATTCGGGAAAGGGTTCGGAGCTCGGTTTCGGCTACTATATAGGCGGTTGCGCAGTTTCGGTAGTGGGTTCTCGGGCTGGGTCTCTTTCTTGTGTCGATTGTTCACTGTTGGTTGGGTCTGCTTGCTTGTCGGGGAAGGGTTGTTCTTTATTTTAGTTTATGTGTTGTTTTTGTTATGTGTTTGTTTGTATCTGTGTTCGTGTTGTATTTATGTTTTAAGTTTGGGCCGTTGGCCTCTATGCGTCTGAGTGTCACTTTTATTACCGCGTTGGGGCCCGACACTCGGTATTACCTTGTTGGGGCCTTAATGTTTTTTTTGTGTGTTTTTTAGTGCTCTTGAGTTTTACTCCGTTGGGGTCGGTTCTAGGCGGACTTTTGTCCTGTCATCCCACTTTTTAGCTATTGACGTTTGTATTCAGCTGTTGGCTGTTTTGTAATCAGTTGGTGGCTGCTCTTTGCACATTTGTGTGTTTTATATAATATCTCTATCGTTCCGTAAAAAAAAAGTATGACATTTCAATTTAAAAATATACATATCTATTAAAACAATATGAATATTAGTGAAAAAGTTGGAAAAGGTCAAAAGTCACTAACTAAATGCAGAAATGACATTTAAAAATATTGAGAATGGTGTACTCATTTGAGATGTCGAGTAATAATTTAAAACTTTAAAAAATTCATTAACTTTTTATGATTTCTTAATTTGAGTAAAAATAAAAGTAAAATTTATCATGTGAGAAGTTGGTTAAATCTTGATACTGCTTTTCTTGGACTATTTAGACCTTTGATT